TTTTTTTTTTTTTTGGTGTGTATGTGCAGCTTGGGTTCACCTTTGAAAGATTCAAGATCACAACTGGCTGACGAAATGGATGAGAATGAGCTGAAAAGTGCAGCTGCATGTTTTAGCCTCACAAGTGTTAATTAAGGACATATTTTTAATGATCAAGAAAAGGAAAAATGTGAGCTATATAGGTAGCATTTTTGCCTTCTTTGGACACAAAGTTTTGATGGAGAGAGATTCTCAACCATGGATTTATCTTTACAAAGAAAGAAAAAAAAAGGGTGAAAAATTATGTGTAGCTCATTTTTCCATGCTCTTTGAAATTGATACTCATTTCAAAAGATTGTTCTAGAAAAAAATGAATTAATTTAGAATCTGTGTGTGTACCAAATTTGGTATGATTATGACATGTTGAGATTGATATACTAAATTTGCTCTGTTCATGTTAAATTACCATCAAGAGAGAAATAAAGGGATGAAAGAAGAAGAAAAAAAAAAGGATTATTTGGATATTTACTTCTATTTCTTTACTTTTTTTTTCTATTTTATTCCATTTTCTACAAATATTATTGAATTCTACAAATATTATTGAGATCTCAATGAAATCATGCACTTGCAATTTTTTTAACAAGAAATTAAATTATGAAAATCATACATTAGAAAGAATTAAGAATGATGAAATTTGACTAAATATATAACCACACCACTAATAACCAAAGCAACAATTACAACCCCAAGCAATGCAATTTTCCTCTTATACTTATGTCCTGTGACCACAGCCAAAGGATTATCAATATTATGTCTTGTAATCCCATTCATTGGTGTCAACTCTTCTTGTTTGGGGCTATGATCATACTTATGGGATGAGCCAATCCTGTTATCCTGTCCCTTGGGGCCATTATCCTGTTTGGGAATCGTGATAGCGTGTCCGGTTACTCGCCCTCCTTGTTTCTTAGGGATAGTGATGCAATATATTTGATTGTCTTCGAACGATCCACTTGCCTCGTCAAGGTCCCCGTTGTTTGGTACCTCAAATGTCTCCTCGAAACTTATGTACTTGTGTTCGCTCACTTGTTTGTCTCCGCGTACGACCAAATGGTCGTATTTGTCTACGTGTATCTTGATATCCTTCGTCTCGAATCCTATTAAGGTACAACGTCGACTTAGGCATGAAAAGTGAAACATATACGAGGCTGTTTAATTTGTTTGTGTGGATTCGAACACAAATGGAGCAAAATGAACGAAATTACTAGGGCTAGGGCTGCTCATTTGGTTGATACCAAGTCGAACCGACCGAATTTTTGAGAAACTGAAAATTCAGTTTATCCATTATAAGAATCGAAAACCGAAAGAAGTGTATGGATCGGTTCGGTTTTTAACCGAAAATTGAGCGGTCAGTTCTGTTCGGTTATTAGTTAATCGCAATAAATAATTAATATTTTTTATAAATTCTTAATTTTTAACCGAATAGAAAAATAATATTTTATCATGTTTGTTTAATATTCGCGATAAATTTCAAATTCTTCTCTAAGGAAGATCTCAGACGCGAAGCATGTCTTGGACTCTGAAGAAGCCAATTTTGAGCGCAACCTAATGCTTGAGCTATTTTAAAGGTCATTGAAGCTGTGAAATCATCAATCATTAAAGCAAATTAATGATTTTATAACTTATATGTATAACAAAAATAATTATATATATATAAATCGATTTTGAGTTCTGTTTGGTTAACCGATTACTATTATCCAAACGAAACAAAAAAGGGAAATTATAAGAAAATGCAAAACCAAAAACCGAACTAAATATTCATTTTCGATTTCTATCCAAACTGAATTTTAGATTTTTGTCGGTTAACCGAGGATTTTTGGCTTTGTAATGTTCGGCTCGATAACCAAATTTTGTGCACCCGACGAAAACACAGGCAAATTAATTTAATCTATCTCATTTAACTTTAACAATTATAGATACATTTATACCCGGAAGAGTTAAACGCAGGTGATAAAAAGCCGAATCCTCCTTCCATCCGTGAGGCGGCGTAATCTGTCTAAACATCAAGCTCGAGTTTTTCCGATCCAGAGCTCCGGTTCTTGTTGCCATCGATCAATTATACACGCGTACACACTTGCATTTACAAACACAAGTTCAAAATAATGAAAATAAATTGTGATAGAAGTTTTGTTTAGATCACTTATTGGCCTTAGGATACATTATGTACTTATAGTTGGAATATTAAAAGTTTGCTAGACAATGTTTGTTCGAAAGAAACACCGAATTTGTTCTTTTCTTTGCTTTGTTGTATTGTATTACTTGCTTTTATGCTTGTTATGAAAGGACCTTTCTACCTATCACATTCCTTTCTTCAAGCCTATGTGCCAGGATGAGCATGGGACTCGGAAAATTCCAAACAGTTCCGAAAACCAAACCGAAATCACTCCGAACCGAAAAATAACCGTTTGTGTTCTTATATTATGTTTCAGTTTTGGCCCTTTGGGTTCTTATTATCAAATTTATTTCTTTTTTTTTTGGGACCCTTTTGAAATAATTTTGAATTCAATTTAGGAGTCTGCTATGTACAGTGGTAAATCAATGTAATATACAAAATAGATTAATTATTATTTCATATAACATATTGAATTAATTAATTAAAAAAAAAGGCTAGAACTTAATGCAAAGATGATAAATTAAATTAAGCATCCAAAAATCCATCTTATTACAAAATTGCTGGAACAAAGACATTAATAATAAAAAGAAAATGCAGTTAACTAAGTAAAAATTGGAACGATAATTTAGTGGAAAATTTAATTTTCCCCTAAAAAAGGAGAAGAAATTATTATTATTATTTTTTTTAATAATTAATTAAGTCTACTACTCTACTGTGTGAGTAATGTTCTAATAAGAGCAGCCTGAGATGTGTCTGCATTAGCCAACAATTCAGACAACCTTTCGCTTAGGTCATCAACTTCTCTGTGTAAGCTTCTAATATAATTGCAAGTCTCTTGTAGCACATTAGCTGCTGATCTCTGCACCCAAAATATATACCAAATATTGATATTAAATAAATTAATTAGCTTCTAATTAATAAAATAAATTTTGTGATGCAATTTGACCCTTATATATATTTTATTTACATGCAACTTGTTAATTAACAACAAGCTTTTTGATTTGCTACTTTATTTTTCAAGAAAGGTAATTAATCCATAGAATAATCGGTACGGTTATTGAGATTTCACAATTAGAATGAATGAGAAAATTAATGAGAAATTAAATTAAGGCCAACTTAATTTTTTCTGTTGGACATAATACTTTTAGCTTATTGATTTTAGTACTTTAATAATATTGCTATTAATTAACCAAAATAACACTGTTAGTTAGTTAGGCTTATAATAATGTTGTTTTTTTTTTTTGTTTGGTACATAGACGGGGCCAAAGGCCCGAAAACTACGATGCTAGAATGTGGCGTGGGTAAGCTACCCCACTTAAGTCGTGGTCAATCCATGAGTCCAACCCTTGGGGAGGTACCGAGATCCGTTGCAGTCCCAATGGGGAATTGGCCGTCAAAGACGCCATATGGTCTGAAAAATTTGGACCATTTCTCGATTTATGCGTGTCATCCTTGTTAATGTACTATTATTGTTGAGTACTTTATGAACATACATTGATTATTTTGTTTTAACATATATATATTGATTAGATAGACACACGAGGGGGTGATAACTTCTAAGACGACTACTTTCGATGTATTCATAATTATAATAAACATTCAAAGGAATCTTTGATTTTTAAATTAGGGTTACACAATTAATTCAAGATTATCTTTCTTCAAGACCCTGAAAACTTCAATGCATTGGCGGTTGTGGTAATTAATTAATTTCCAAAACAATATTAAATATTTGGCTTTGTGATCACTTCTTGTTAAAACACAAATTTTATTTGTGAGAAAAAATACCAGTTAGATAGATCGACTCATCATGATTTTTAACAAAAGTGCATGCTAATACTGATGTATACTGTGAAATGTTATATTTTTATTCTGGTCGTTTTCTAAAGTATGACACAATGAATGCATATATTTGCTGAAAAAAAAAAAAAATATGATTGTTAATTAAACTAACTTATTAGAAATAGCCTTAGAAAAAACAATGTTCACTCAATTTCTTTTCTAAATGTGTGTCGATCGCCTTCTGGTTTTAATATGATTTATTATACGTATTTCTATTTTTTTACTTTTCATGCTTTTATTCCTTATTTAGTTGTTTTTAGTTTATTTGGTTTTTATTGAACAGAAAAATATTTCTCTTAAAGATTTTTTTTCTCGTAATTTCCCTATTTCGTTTGCTGCGCTACACCAAGACGTGTATGAGAAATCGCACTCGCGCGTCTTCTTGGATAATACGAATAATGTACACGAAAAATGTTACCTTGTCCAGGCGACGATTATGCATCTCAGGGAGAAGTTGTTGCAGCTTGGAAACGAGCTCATCGATTTGATCTTCCGAGATTCTTGAAGATCCTGATTGTCGTGATCGTGATCTTCGGCTAGACATTTTGTGTGTGTGTTTTTTTTTGGTATATTAATGGAATAACTTAGAAAATATAAGTGGTGTTTGAACTCAAAATAGTAATATAGCTAGCTAGCTAGGTTTTTCTAGTGCAGTTTAAGGAAATAAGTGGTGTTTTGGATTAAGAGGTGATTAATGCATGGGTATGTGTAATGCTCAGGGCCCTTCCCTTTAAATAGGACTTTTTTTTGGGACTGTTGGGATACTAATTAGGGTTAGAGGAGGATTAATTGATTAATTGTATTTGTACACTTATTTACAATAAGCTTGAATTAATTTTAGGCTGAGTTTTTATTTTGTATGTATAAATGTCATATTTTATAAGAAAATGAACACCTTAATCAAATTAAACTAGTTTGATATAAAATATAATATTAGTATAAATAGATTTTTTTAATAATAAATATCCATTAGGGTTAGGTTATGTTAGCATATTGCTCGCCTATTTAAAAATTAGGATTTTTTTAGCCCGTAAACCAACTACCACTAGCACAAAGCTGTAGGCACGTGTAATTTAAGTTTCACTTTGTAAACATTTAATTCTAGCTCTATCTGTGTATGAAATAGTTTTGTAGTTAAAGCAAGAAAATTTATTCGATTCAATCATATATCGATCAGCGGAATGATCGAAATTACATACCTACAACAAATATTGCTTGTGTGTGTGTTTGAGTTATTTGAAGAACTTGTAGAAGATAACGATGAAGGCTTCGACACTTTTATTTTTATTCGGTCAGAATCTTCTAGACTCTTTCACTTTCTCCTTAAGTGGTGTAAGATTCAGTAGTTGTAAAGTGATGAGCCTAAGAATCTTTTAAACCAGATGGTACCCTTTGGCAGAAAGGTACCTTTTGACGGAAAGGTACTAATTAAGTAATTATTAATTCTATCCATCATAGAATTAATATCAACCATCCAAACTGTATTAAGGAGATTACCAGGATTTGTACTCTTTACAAAATAAGAACATGTAGACCACTTTAAATTATCTTGTTTATACATGATAGAAGATAACTAAATAATAAATACTAACAGTTAATTCTAATATTACATTTTTTTTCCACACAGAAAAATTTCACACACAAGAATACTAACATTTCTTCTTGCTATCTATTTTCTTTCTCTCCTTTGGTGTGTCGGATATGTTGAATGTCCCCTCTATTTATAGACGAGAGAGTGCAATGTGAATTGCACTCCATTTGAACAAAAATGCAGTCGTCTTTGTTTTCTGCTTTCAATGATGGTAGGCGCTATCATTTTTCCATTGTTGTTTTAAATGATGGTGTGCTTTTGACTGGACCCATCAATTATTTCGTTGGATGAATAACATATGTACAAATATATATGTGATATACAAAAATGAAATACTATAGTTTAAAAAAACAGAAAATCTCATTCCACAAGAGTCTGAGATAATAGTGAGAATTAATTTGTTGCCATGTATCTAGATTTTGTGTGTGAATATTCCAGTCCCGCTCACCTGCCCACGGTGGGCAGTGCTCACTAGTTTGTTTTATATGAAACAAATTAGTGTGCACTGTCCACTGTGGGCAGGGGAATATATTTAATGAGTATCCTACCATATGTTGTAATCTTGACCAAATTGCATGCTTTTCTTCTCCACTCCTAACTAAGTACGGATTGTTATTTTTTTTTATTTTTTTTTTTTATTTTCGTGATATATATGAGTACGGAATTTTAGGCCTTTAATTAGTCCAAAGACTTCGCACTCAATTGATTCCCTTTGTAGTTATAAAAATATGTTTAACTTTTATACTAACCTCGTGTATACTTATCTACACTCTTTTACATAGGGATGCGTTTTGCATCTCGTGAATCGGCTCTTCGTGTTCGAATCGGGCTTTATTATAGACATGTCGACCCGAGCTCGAACTCGAACTTGTTAAATAAACGAGCCTAAAATCATGCTAGAGCTCGACTCGTTTATCACTAATAACGAGCGATCTCGAGCTTTAACAAGTTAAACTTCTTTTCGATGCTGAATGAGGTTTAAATGGGTCCGAGCTCGGCTCGTTCATTAAACGAGCTGAGCGGAGCTGAACTTGATCCTTAACGAGCCGAGCTGATTCGGGCTCGTTTAATTGAACAACACTAGTTGGCTCTACCGAATATAGCTCGGGTGAACTCTCGAATTATCGTATGTGTCATATTCTTAGCAATTTCTTGTAGAGCATGTGCTCATATATTTGTGAAATACATAATCTCGATCTCGCTTTTGCATTATTAGCATTTGCGCTACTTCAAATAATTCTAATGGAAAAATTGCACCATTGGTCCACTAACTTTCCCCTAGTTGCACTTTCGTCCTTTAATTGTTTCCGGTTTATAAATGGTACACTAACTTTTTTTTTTTGGCAGCGTTGGTCCAAAATCACATTCCGGTGACCATTTTGCTGATGTGGCGCCGGAGCATCTGATGTGGCGCCCGGAATTCCTCGTCAGCTCCTGACGTGTCACGAGTTGGGCCCAGTCATTTTGACACCTTGCAAAATTAATATTAAAAAATTAAAAAAAAAAACAAAAAAATAAAATAAAATCCACATGTACCGAACATGTGGATAATTCATTAAACAAAATAAAAAAAAAAAGAAACAGAAAATCGATTTGAGGATAAAAATTGAAATCAGAAGAACAAACTTCATTTCCTTCATTTCCATTCT